GCGCACGCCTTTAATCCCAGCACTCGGGAGGTAGAGGCAGGCGGATCTCTGTGAGTTCAAGGCCGGGCTGGACCGACAGCCTCCAAAACAAAACAGAGAAACCCTGTCTCGAAAAACCAAAAAGAATTTTTTTGAGACAAGGTTTCTCTGTGTAGCTCGGATTGGCCTAGAACTTAGAACTCAAGAGATCTGCCTGCCTTTGCCTCCTGAGTGCTAGGGTTAAAGGCATGTGCCACCACCACCAGGTGTTTTTTTGTTATTTTCTTTTTCTTTCTTTTTACATTTTAAATTTGTTGTTGTTTTTGAGACAAGGTTTCTCCGTGTAGCTTTGGCTGTTCTTGAACTCACTCTGTAGACCAGACTGGCCTCAAACTCAGGTCCACCTGCCTCTACTTCCCCAAATGCTGGGATTAAAGGCATGTGCCACCACCTGGCTAGTTTTCTTAACTGACGCTCAGCCAGCTTGAGTTACAGGGAGCTTCTCATACTGAGTTGAGATTCAAAAGCAGTTCCTCCTGGCTTCAGTTTCCATACCAGCCAAGAGGCAGGTGCCACAGGGAAACCAGGTTGGCACCAGGTGATCTAGATCTGACACGTGTTTCTGCTGCCTCCTATACATGCCTTTGAGCAGCTTGCCACTCTTAACCTTGGCTTCTTCAACTATAAAATAGACACTGTAAAAATCTGCAAGACACATGCTACAGGTAAACTGCCTGGCACGATCAATAAATAGAAGCAAATCTTAGTAAAAATAGGGGAAGCATCAAGACCTGAATCCAATCTCTAGCTAGGTTATTACCTATAATTCTGATGCTGGAGAGATGGAGACCAGAGGTCTTGTCTAATGGGTGAGATTCTGTTTCAAAAGTAAATTAAAAATCCTCTTTATTGTAGAGAATAGAGGAAGACACTTGGCATCTGCCTCTGTCCTACACACACACACACACACACACACACACACACACACACACACACACACACACACGAAAGTGCAACTGTATGCACACAGGTATGCATGTACACACCCGTGTACCACTGGTACACATGTGCACAGACACATGCAACATACGCACACATGTGTGCATGTGTATGCACATGTGTACATATATATATATATATACACACACACACAGAAGCAACAGAATTCTGGGGAGACCCTGAAGCATGAAGCAGGATTCTAGCACGGAAGTAAAGTTCTATAGCATTTCAGGCAGAAAGAAAAGCTGAGCAGAGGTTTAGCTGGGAAAGCAGGCAAGGATGGGACGGGTGTGGGGCCAGCTGTCTGTGTGGACCAGGGAGACACCGGAAACTCAGGGCAGAGCTGCTACTGACTGACACTGGCTGCCAGGCCTGTGGTTCCCTCATTAGAGCTGGGCATGGCAGCACACACCTTAATTCCAGCACTCGGAGGTGGAGACCAGCAGATCAGGAGTTCAAGGCCAGCCTTGACTGCATAGAGTTTGAAGTTAGCCTGGGTTATACAAGCTCCTTGTAACATCAGTGACTGTAGTAGTGACTGTCACATGCTTCCCTCACTGGGGATTTACACCACTATCTTAGTTGAGTCTTACTGTGGTCTGTCCTACAAAATTACGATGACAGAATAGGGAAATGATTTCTGACTATTTTTCTGGAGTCAAAACTATCAGGCTTCAGACTTCAGATTCACTAACTACATATGAAACGTTATTTAACCTTGCTGGGCCTCAGTGTTTTCATCTTTAAAATGGGGGTGTAGCGACAGCTCTGTTGGTAAAGTGCATAAGCCTAAGGCCTGAGTTTTGATACCCAGCACCCATGTAAAAATCTGGATATGGAGGTAGACATTTGTCATCACTGCAGGGGGGGGGGCGCTCACTGGCCAGCCAGCCTAACCAATCACTGAACTCCAGGGCCACTAAGATACTTTGTCTCAAAATCAAGTCACCTGACACCAACTTCTAACCCCCCCACACACATGCAGGCGTCCCACTCCCACAGGCACACAGGCATATTTACACCACACACACAGAGTCAAAATAAAAAATTAAAAATTGACCAGACTGTCAAAGGTGGCATGGCGCGTCTTCAGGCAGAAGGACCCAGGGACTTCTGAGGTGGAGAGTACTCAGGGGCCCTCTGCCCTTCCTCAGGCGGGAGGTGGCGAAGGTCTGTTGGCAGAGCAGATGCAGTTAGAAAAGAGAGACCATCTGGGCACCCTTCCGTGGTGTTGCTACTAATTAACCTAGGTCACATGCCGCTGCACTGATCTATGTATAAAACTAATATAAAAATAAAGGCATTGACAAACATGAGGGGAGACAAATTAAGTTTGGTGCTAGCATACAGAGTAATGGGCTTCGCTGTGGCCTTTTCATATACAGGTGTCATCACATTCTGCTAAATTTTCGTTTAATCCCAAAGATTATTATTTTATTTATCTTATATGTCTAAGTGTTTGTTTGCACGTATGTTCATCACCTAAGTGCCTGGTACCCCAGGAGGTCAGAAAAGGGCATCAGATTCCCTGGAACTGTAGTTAGAGGAGGAACCCAGCCTGGGTCCTCCATAAGCGCCATCAGTGCTCTTGACCACTGAGCCATCTCTCCAGCCCCTTGTTTTACTTTTAGATAAACAGAAACGAAGATAGAAGTTATCAGATAGCTACTTCTCAGGAATCTTGTAAGATTTGAAGGGAAAAAAAGTGTGTATGTGTGTGGAATTGCTTAGCAATATGGGGTAAGAGAAGCAGGGAGGGGGAGGAAGACACTGAGGAAGACAAAAGTGAGAGATAAGGGAGGAAAGAGAAAGGATTAGAAGAAAGGAAGAGGGGAGAAAGATAGGGAATGGGGGAGGGGAAGAGAGGGAGAAAGTAAGAGAGGAAAGAATGAGGAGAGGAGAGGAGAGGAGAGGAGAGGAGAGGAGAGGAGAGGAGAGGAGAGGAGAGGAGAAATGTCCCGAGGTGCCACTATTCAGAGGCAGCTGTCCACTTCAGGGCCAGCCTTTGCTTGGAGCCCTCATCTCTTCAGGAATGTGGGTCACAGTCTATAGGCTGGACCTTGGCCTCTTTCCACACACCCAGAACCACCGGTTAATGAAATGGTCATTGCTTTCTGGTCCGCATCTCTTCTCTTACGGCTAGTTCCCCTCCATGGCCTCTCTTGGCGGTTGTGTCAGCAGCGATGGAGAACTTGACCTTTCCCATCCTTGTCCCACACACCTCATTAATTTCTCCATGCACCTGGAGCTGGCCACAATGGAGCAGAGAAGCTACCAGGTCTGCAGAGAGAGGAGCAGGCACTGCGTTCCCAGAAGCCTGACCTGAGACTTCACCGGAGTTATGGAGTCATGCTCCAGGCTCCTAGAACCTTTGAAATTAGATCTTTGTTTGGAAAAACAATAAGAGATGTCCCATTGCTGAAGAATGACTCTACAAATATATAAGAAAATAATACAAAAATGCTACATAAAATAATGAAATGAAAACACACTCTGTGTCATTGGGTGAAATTCTTGTATTTTACATTTGATGGAACCCTGAACTGAATTATGGGGACTGAATTATGAAAAGATGAAATTTTACAGTAGTATTGTGACATGTGAAGTAGGCAGTGCCACTAAACCTGGTGGCTCAGGCCTATAATCTCAGCTACTTGGGAGGCTGAGGCAGAAAGGATCATGAGCTCAATGCCTGCCTCAGCTTCAGAATGCTTTTGAGGGCTCTAGATAACTTAGTGAAACTGTCAAATATAATAAATGAACAGGCTCCAGGCGGACAGTGTCCGAGGAAATGAGACTGAGGCAATGGGGTCTAGAATTTAAGAACGTGGTCACACGGGGTGTGTGTGTGTGTGTGTGTGTGTGTGTGTGTGTGTGTGTGTGTGTGTGTGCAAAGCCAACCTATCTTCTGTTGTCACCACTGCACTGCTCCTCTGTGTCCCTTTTGTTTCTTTTGGGAAGCTCTGACACTAGCCTCCGTGTTCTTGTGACGTTACTCCTTTTAGACGATGGAATCTAGTGCGTGTTCATTGAGTGCCTACAATAAGACAGGCATGGTGCTGGGCACAGGGTAGACCCCTGCCCAGTGTTCTGTTTTTTATTTTATTTTGAGATAGGGTTTCTCTGTGTAGCTTTGGAGTCTGTCCTGGAACTTACTCTGTAGACCAGACTGGCCTTGAAACCACAGAGATCTGCCTGCTTCTGCCTCCTGAGTACCGGAACTAAAGGCGTGCGCCACCACCGCCCGGCTGACCCCTGCCCTCTGGTCACTCACAACCTACGGAGCCTGCCCCGAGCTCTGAACCTGTCATCATCACCATTGTTTCCTTGTCTCATGACAGAATATTTCTCTAAACTATGTGAGCCCTCATTAAAAAAAAAACAAAACAACCAAACAACAACAAAAAGCCTTTAAAAAATTACAAATATAGGGCCAGAGAGACAGCTCAGTGGCTAAGAGCTCTTGCAGTTCTTCTGGAGCGGCCACAGGGTTCAGATTCCAGCATTCCTGCCTTGTCAGGCAGCTCACAGCTATCTATCCCGCTCCAACGGATCTGACGGTTCTGACCTCCATGAGTCAGTGTGCGCGAATGTACTCACACCGGCACACATGTGCACACACACAAAACATCCACAGAGAGGAAGACATACACATATACACATAAAGCTCAATATAAATCTTAAAAATTCAAACGCAGTAAAGCATAGAAGAGATATTTGCTTACCCTTGTTCATAGCTGCCTTATTCATACCAGCTGAAATGTGGAAGCAGGCCAATGGAGCATCTTCAGACAAAGGAAGGGACAAAATGACACATATGCCTGTGATGGACATCAGCCAGCCTCAAAGGGAGAGTGGAATTCTCCCTCCCCCCCCCCACACATACAAATACACTCACACATACACACACACAAATACACACACACACACACACACACACACACCTTTCCCTCCCAGCTGTAAATAGTAACCATCCCCCACACACACCTGACTTTAGCCACAACAAAAATCCACCTTTTTTTTTTTTTTGAGGTTGTTTTTGAGGTTTTTCTTTGAAAGACTACTTTGAGGAAGAAGCCAGCTTGAGTTTGTTTTTTTTCTCTCTGATCCCTGCTGACTGACCAAGGACTTCAAGCTGTTTACACGTGAGAGCTTTAGATATGGTTATTTGTGTGGCATTGTATCGGGGCCTTCAAATATTTGCCGGGAGGTTCGGTGGAAAATGTCTAGACCAGTGCAAACATTGCAGGCCCCAGAGAAATCCCAGAAGCTCAAGGGGGCCATTCAAGACCCCTGCTCTATAACACTGTCCCCACAAGGAAGCCCTGGGATTCTTGTCAGATACAGTGAGCCCATCAAAGGGTCCAAGTCCACTCCTCCACTCCCCGCCCCCACCCCCAAAAATCTTGATTCCCCGATAACCGGCTTCATTCATTCCTCAACCCAAAGAGGTACACAGTGGAGAACCATTGACCCAGCAGTCAGGAGCACTAAATACTAACTCTCCATTGCCTCCCACCCACTGTGTCACTAGGGCGTGCAAATGGCCCTCTCTGGGCTCTGGTTTTCTTGGTTGTAATGAAGGCAGTTGAGAAAAGTGACCTCCAAGGCCCCTTTCTTTGATCCAATCAATCTATCCCTTAAGGACCTCTCAGACAGGGTTAAGAAAACAGGCTTGCTGTGGAAGATTGAAACAAAAGAACAAGAAGGAGTCCCTTGTCTCAAGAACGCTTGATTTGCTGTTTAAACTTAATTGTGTTCATCTTTGAGAAACTTCTTGGGTGCTCAAAACCTAGAGTATAGGGCAGCCAGAGACCGGCGTGTAATAAATCACTTATTGATGTCACATTCATTGCCCGGTAAAAAATCTGTCACTTATGTCTCCAGGCTTGCTGGGCACCTGAATTCATGTACAGGTGTTCACATACATTAAATAAACATATCACAGGGAGCCGGGAGCTCTATGTGTAATAAACACTCTATGTACTGAACTCTCATCCGTGGACTCAAGCTTGAGGTGAGAAGCTCACAGGACAGCCTGGTGAGGCTGGAGGTTTTTGCCTGACACTGCAGCCCGCCCGCCCGTGCTTCTGTCCTGGAATCCGAGGTCTTTCTGCTGCGCCTCTGCTTCTGGATTTTGCATTTTTCAAAGCACAGAAGGCAGAGTTTGAAGTCGAGTAGGTGGAAGCACAGAGCCCTTAGATGCCCAAATCTGCCCCCAGATCCCTGGATGAGAGCGAGACGGAAGGTGAGACTTGAAGCCTCGTGTTCTCAATCAAAAATATTAGACCTGTCCCCCTTCCCCGGCCGCACTGCCTGGGCAGCACGCTGGGGCTGACTCTTTTGTTTTTTTTGTTTTTTGTTTTTTTTTTTTGTGCTGAGACAGAACCTAACCCCCTTGCATGCTAAATGCATAATACCGAGGTACCGCCCACCCCCACAGCCTTCTGGCATGTATTTGTACGTAACAGTTTTGGAACCCTCAGAGTTGGGCAGACGCATCAACACGTGTCCCCGCCCCCTTGCTCGTACACAGCCTTTTAGTGCTTTCCCCACACACCTGTTTCTCATGCAGCCTTTGCTAACCCCACTACAAGTCTATCTTACTAGATGCTCATTTTCCCCATATAGGAGTCCATCCTCATGCCTGAAGCAAGTCCCTACAAAAAAATTAATTACATTTATTTTTTATTTTGTGTGTTTGGGGGGCACATGCCATCGCATACTTGTGGAGATCAGAGAACAACTTTCCTTTCAGGAGATGGTTCTCTCCTTCCATCAGATGGGTCCCGGGGAAAAAACTCAGGTTCAGGCTTGGCAGCAAGCACCTTTACCCACCGAGCCATCTTGTAGGCCCCTTGTAGCAAACCATTAGCAAATCCTATTGGCTCTTTCTTGGCTATAAGCTGAAGGTCTGGCTATTGCTCAGCACCTCATCCTCCCAGTCAGGACAGTTATCTGCAGCCGTCTGTCATCACGCCTCTCCTTCTTCTTTGTCCCTTTCCACCTGCAAGACACACGAATCTGAGGGACTGTGTTACATCAACATCGGTTCATGCGAGGCTGATAAATGTTCTAAGGACTTCCCAAGTCTCTTAGAGCAAAAGCCCCGTGTGATGTGTGGACTTCAGCCTCATAAACTCCCTGCTCTTCTTGGAACACACCAGACACGTGTCTGCCCCGGAGCCTTTACTCCTGCCATTTCTCTGACCCGGAGCACTATTCCCTAGTAGCCTAAATGGTCCCGTCTACAAATTCATCACCTCCATGAGGAATTTCCTTCCTATTCCGATTAAAATTTCATCTTATCGTCTCAATGTTCTAGTTTCATGCTTTGTTCTTTATCTTTAAAGTATGCATCACCACCAGTCAAAATATGAATCGCATCAGCTAATTTTGCTTGTGGTCTGTTGCCCTGACTATATATAGTACATAAGCCCCGCCTACACAGGGATTATTTCAAGGGGAGGAGTGTTGTGGCTCCTGAGTTGCTCCACCCCCACCTCTAGAGTAGCGCCTCATTTAGCAGGGTTCAGCAAAAGTCTGTTGACCGGTTATTGAATGAAACGTCTCTGTCTCAGCAGGTATCTGAGTTTTGGCTTCTCTTCCAGGTCTGCAAACACGCGTTTCCATCTCCGTCCCCACTGCCACTCACTCTGCACCTGAGCCGCCTCCCACCACAGACACTGTCCAAAGAAACATGGGTGATCGGCTGCAGAAGGCGACTTCCAACCGCCCTGCATTCTGGGATTTTTCCACGACCTCCGCACAGGAATCATCCCCACTCCCAGAGACCCTCCCTACCTTCACAGACCTCACTCTCGGTCCACCAACTGCTAAAGGTCAACCATCAACTTATTGAATGCTAGTTACTCAAACTGTGTCTGCTTGTAAGAGAAGCACCCCGTCCCAAAAAGATGAAAATGAATCACGCCGAGACAGAAAGCCCAACGCGCTCCCCCATCTTCCTCCCACTACAGGAGCGCACACCCTCTAATGATCCCCTGGGATTCTGGGGCAAAGAGAGGATGGGGGTTCACTTTGCAGAGAACAGTTATTTATCCAAGTTTCTCCCTGAGACATCTAAACATCTTCTCATTTTACTTATTTGTTTGTTGTGTGCGTTTTTGCCCACGTTGCTGTGGCACACACTTATGGAGACAGGGGACATCTTGAGGGAGTCAGTTGTCCTCTTCCACCATGTGGCAGCCTTGGCGGCAGTTGTCTTTATACACCAAGCCGTATCCCCAGTTGTCCTTGAGACATTTAATTATAGAGTTAGATGGGACTTCTTTGGGGGCAGAAATGTCCTCTTGTTTTGTGATAGAGGAAACAACTACATGGAAAGACAGTGATTTTTTTCCAATGTCCCCATAGATTCTCTCCTTCATCTAAGGGACAGTCATGTTCACCTTCATCCTGAATTTCCTGATCACCTCTGCAGGACCATGTCATCAGGAAAGTTCCCACAGCTGAGGAGACAAAAGAGAGAGAGAGAGAGAAGTGAAATTCACCAGCCACTCTACCTCCAAGCAATGTTGAGTCAGGATGGGGAGCCTCAGAAGTGGCATGGGTGTCCCTGATGAACAATCCTCAGAGGTTATCTGGAGTGACCCTGAGGCCATCTACACTCAGAGAAGCTGAGCCACAGACAGGAAGCCTGACTCTGGGGTCACCGCCCACGAGAAGCCAGAATCCTCACCGCAAGCCCCTATCAGGTGCTACTATGGCCAGGGTCCTTAAAAGACCTTGATGACCACTGCTCTGTCACCCTCCTGTTTCAGAGGAGAGAACAGAGATTCCCCGGGCTGAAAGGGCAATGAGGCGAAGGTGGACTTCGGAGGCCAGGGAAGATGCTTCACACAGACCTTTGCACTCTGCCTCTCCTGTGTCTGTTTCAGTGGCTTCTAGTTCTCCCTCTCCATCTTCCCTCAGTGTCAAGAGTCACTTACACATCAGTTTCATCCTGTCCCTCAGGAAATGGTCTTGTGAACTTGAAAAAAACAAAACCCACATGGCCTAAAAGCACTCAACCAAGTTAATTTCTTGTACTGTCCCTTCTGTTCCATGCCAGTGTCTCTGTCCAGGGCTAGGGTCAGTTTGGTCAGAGTCAACATATGCTCCTGGAGCCGTGGTTTAGACTGAGAGCAGAGGGTCACCCAGGGCAGCCTCCCCAAAGCCACCTGCAGCAAATGCTGTGCGAATGTGTGCCAGGCCGCTTTGTCACGCACCGTGCAGGAAGACTGGTAGGCAATCAGTTTCACTGCAGGCGCACAGTCACGAGTCTTGATCCAGCTGCTGTCGGTCTAGAGTTATAGCTGGGATTGTGCATAAGTCAAAACTTGTGTTTGTGTCCTTCAGTCTTTGTCCCGAGGGCCTTGAAATTTCATCAGGAAGCCAGTGCTGTCACCCTCTGCACATGCTGAACAGCATAGGAGACTCTAACCTTGATGGAGCCAAAGCAGCGACAAACCCTCTTCATTATCATGGGAGTGCGACAGGTGACAGCCACACTTGTCTTTCTTGGAGCAGTTACCGTGGTTACTACTGGCAACACACCAGGACCTTCGCCACAACTGTCTTGTTCAACCTGTAAAACACCAGTTCAGTCAGCAGCACTATTAGGGGTGGAGGTGGAATTTGAAGCCATCCCACCCCCCAGCCCCACACCCACTCCAAAGCCACAAGCTTTTTACTCTTGTCACCCACAGTTCAGCCTTCTGCCCAACTCTAACCCTGTGTCCATGATTTCTCAAAACATGACGCTACCTTTTAAACTGTTTCTTCTCGTGTTCTGGTCACCAGGTTTTGGGCCTAGGGCAGTGGTTCTCAAATTCTGTTGCCTCCTCCCATATAATAGAGATGAATGACAGATAAAGTAGACCTTCTCGTGATGTGTGCCCTCCCCCCCCCAAGCTGGAAGTGAGAAGGGCAGTGATTCTGTCCCAACACCTTGAGTTGGGTAGAAAGGGATTGAGGCATTGCCTGTGGCTCTCCTGCCACAAGCATAAGCTCTTTGTGCAGCTAATCTTGCTTTCCTGAGCCCACCTTGAATGCTAGAGACGAATCCCCCTCAAAAGATCTGCTGGCCAGCACTTCCTAACAGATCAAGGAGGACTTCCCAATTTCCTTGGGACTCTTCCCATGTCCTAACCCAGCCATTTTCCCGGGAGGAGACTTTAGGTACCATGAACTCCAAAGCCCTGCCCCACCCTGTGGTGGTGTCTGGGAACTGCAGCCACCATGTTACTGAGACCAAGTTGGGCAAGTCCTCTCTAAGATTTGAATCCAGGCCCTACTTCCATTCTCAGAATAGAATCCATGTTAAACTGTAAAGGTTAGAGGTAGCCATCACCCTAGTGCTACTACAACTCCCTCTCCTGCTGCTGCAGCTACAGAAGTCTTACTGTGTGCTTGGCTTGTAGCATCTGCGTTGCTCTATCCCACTTAATTCTCAACACCTAAAAGTCGGAAACATTTGTTTTACAGACAGGATAATGAGGACTCTGAGAACCCCATGCATTGTCAGAGCTCCCACTGCTTGTAAGGAGCAGACTAGGAGATGATTTCAAAGTGACAGTGACTTTGAGTCATGGAGTTAGCTTCTCCATTTATCTAGGCCATCAATTAAATTAATTTTAATGGAGGCCTCTACTTGCTCATCTAAGTTCTTCTGAGAATTAAATGAGTCCTGTAAAGCAAATGGCAGGAAGGCTGCACACAGTAGACTCATACTTATTCCCATAGAGCCTGTCCCACTGTTTTTTCTTCTGTGGTGCTTGTGTTTGTACATGTTTCTGAGTGTGCATAAGTGTGGAGGCCAGGGGTCGGCGTCAATGTCTCCCTCCATCACTTGTTCTTTTGAGACAGACTCTCTCACTGAACCTGGAGCTCACAGGCAAGTCCCTGGGATTCTTCTGGTTCTACTTCCCCAGTCATGGGGTTGCCGGTGTGCACCTCCCAGTTTTCGCTTTGGGTTCTGGGCATTAAGCTCGGGTTCTCATGCAGGCATAGCAAGCCCTTCACTGACTGAGCCATCTCCCCAGCCTCAAACTTCCAGGCAGCGTGGCTTACCAACCCCCACTCCTCTGTAGGGACGGACCTCTTTTCACTCATGCCTCATGCGCTACTTGCTAACCATTTACTCATTCATTCACCTATTCAAATAAAGATTTGTTTACTTTATTTTAGCTGTGAGTGTTTTGTCTGCGTGCAAGTAAGTGCACTGTGTGTGTGTGTGTGCCTGGTGCCTATGGAGGCCAGAAGAGGGCATAGAATTCCCTTTAAATGGAGTTATGAACTGTTGTAAGTCACCATGTAGATTCTGGGAACCAAACCCAGGTCCTCTACAAGAGTAGTAAATGCTCTTAACCATCAGGACACCTCTACAGGCCTTCATTCACTCATTAAAAATTATTTTTAAGATTTTTGTGTATGTGTGTGAGAGCATGAGAGAGAGACAGAGAGAGAGAGACAGAGACAGAGACAGAGACAGAGACAGAGACAGAGAGAGCACATGAATTTAGATGTCCCCAGAGTTCAGAAGAGAGTCAGGCCCCCTGGAGCTGGAGATACTGGGAACGAAACTCAGGTCCTCTTCAAGAGCAGCAAGCACCCCTAGCCACTGAGTTACCATTCCTCCATTCACTCATTTATTGAACACCCTGCTGTATGTCAGCCATACTGAATGGGCCTTTGGAATTAAGCAATTAAGGATTATGTTGGTTTTTTTTCTGGAGAAAAGAAGGGGAGTAAAGTGGAGTGGCCTTATAGAGTGTAGAAAACCCTTGTGGCATTTTCTTGTCATCTGTCCTAGATACAATGGACAGTGTGGAGAGTCAAAGCACATCACATTGTGTGCACTTGGAGAGGAACACAAACCCAGGACATCAACGACAGGTTACAATGAAGATTTAGACGCATCTTAAGATTTGCATGGTCAGAAGACAGAAGATGCCCTCCCTTCAAAGGAGAGTGAAATCTCATTGGTGAATGGGTCAGGCAAAGCCTGGTAGCAATATGAAGGGAAGGAAGTGGCCAAGGGTGCATCCCGGTACCCAGGGCCTCTTGTCATGAGGCTGCTGGACTGCTCATCTTACTTTGCTACTCACAGACCCTTTATTAGACCTTAGTGGTTCTTCTACAAGTGTAACTAAGTGTGAAAGCTCTTGTTAGAGTCAAGCACTGTGCTGGAACCCAGTTTGGATCCCAACTGGATCACCCTTGACAGTGGATCCCCAATTCCCAGTGAGAATCTTGAGGCTAAGGTCTTCCATGACCCAGCTAAACTCCTAAACACAGAAGCCAGAATGCAAGCCTGGCTAGATTGACCTCCAAGGGACCTACCTAATCCTCCTATCACAGGTCATGGTGCCACTAATAAAGGCTATGAGGGAGGGCTGGCTGAGGAGGGGGCAGTGCTTGGTGTGTAATATGATGATCTGAATTTGAAACCCCACACCCATGTAAAAAGTAGAACATGGTTCCATGTGTCTGCCACCCTAGAATTTGGAGGCAAAGACAAGCAGATATCCCAATAGCTGTCTTTCCAGACAGTCTAGCCATAAGGGCAGCAAGGTCAGTGAGAGACCCTGTCTCGAAGCCATAGGTAGGAAGTAGAGAGCAATAGAGGATTAGTATGGAGTACTCTGGCCTCTGTATATGTCCAAGAGTGTGGTCAGTTACACATGCAGTCACCATATATATGTATGTATATATATATACACACACCATAAGCACACACAATCTATCATCTATCTATCTATCTATCATCTATCTATCTATCTATCTATCTATCTATCATCTATTTATCCATCATCAATCACCTATCTATCCATCACCCATCTATTCATTTAAAAAGGTAGAAGGCTGCTGGGCATTGGTGGCGTACACCTTTAGTCCCAGCACTCGGGAGGCAGAGGCAGGCGGATCTCTGTGAGTTCAAGGCCAGCCTGGTCTACAGAGTGAGTTCCAGGACAGCCTCCAAAACAATACAGAGAAACCCTGTCTCAAAACAAAACAAAACAAAACAAAACAAAACAAAACAAAACAAAACAAAAAAAACGGTAGAGGGACTAGTGAGCTTTTCCTCTATCCATCACCTCGCTATCCATCATCTCTCTATCTATAATCTGTCTATCCAAAAAGACAGAAGGCCTAGTGAGCCTCCCTTCACATCTAGACACACTGGTGATGGGCTGCATCCTCCCCATCAAGAAGGCAGCCCTAAGTGTCACATGTGGTACTGAGAGGAGCAGATAGAATTGGCCTTTGGGGCGTGTTGACATGAGAGGCTGAAGACCTGAGCCCGAATCTGTGCCTGGCAAGTTTTTAACATCTCCTCAGTTCTCAATTTGTTCATCTGCAAACCAATAGTATCTACCAGGGTTATCCTTAAGGGTTGAGTTAGTAGATACAGGAGGAACTCCGCACAGTGTATACAGTAAGCACTCAATGTGTAATCATATAAGCATCATCTATTTTTTTTTTTTTGGCTAGGAGAAGGTTCTTTTGTCTAGAGCCTGACAAAGTCCTGACCTTGGTACCCCTCACCTATATGGTCAAGTGTGTGTTTGTGAGCTTATGAATTTTTATGAGGTTCTATTTTTACAGTTTCATGTAATGCTCCAGTGCTAGTGGACACATCAGCACCTGACCTTTCAACTAGCCAGGCACTTCCTCAACATGGAGCCCCAAAGCCATGGGTTTTCTCCTGCCTGGTGAGGTCCCCCTCCCCACTGCTCCCCCCATCCTCCACCATTTGCATTGTGATAACATTATTTCAATATCCTCTAGCCTCTACTGAGAACGACCTGGCTGTGATTCCCTCCTAGGCACTCAGCAATCCCCAGCGGGGGAGTTGTGGTTTCACCAAGGTGCAGGCATCACGAAACCGAGAGAGAAGTAGCTGAGCAGAGAAGTTACTCAAAGGTAGGCGAGAGAAAAACCACTCATGTGTTTTAGTAAGCACAGACCACACCGGCCTTTTCCCTTTGCTTTTTAAAAAAAGACTTGCTGTTGAGACTTCACTACAGCTACATTTAAGGAAATAAAAGCATAATAAAGCCCCTACCCTTCCCCTGCCTTCCAAAATGCTTGCCCAGCAATTTCCCTTTGAGAGTACTTTCAGTTCTGAAAGGTATTTTCATGAAAATGACAAACAACCATTTAATCCAGCCCCATCTTTTGCCCCCAAATATATAGATACTGCTATGTCTCCTCTGTGCTCGTCACTGCCACTCCCGTGGAGACCACAGTCTAAAAAGTCCTGTGTCTGCCATTTGCTGTTCATGTGGCATTGAAACAGCTACTGCCATAGTGTTTGCAGCCTCAGTGGGGACACTGGGAAGCAGACACGAGACCTCAGTTGAGAGGGTTAGAAGTTGACTCTGTACACACTGACTGAGAATGTCAGTAACTCATAGCTTTGGTTGGAGATGAGCTGTCTCTAATAACACCACAGTGGGAACCTTCCATGACATTTCTTCTCCTTTGACATTCTTCTTGGGAAAGGAGTACCAGGAATGGCATTATTGAGCTCAGAGGCATAGACATTTTTGTGTTTTTTGGGATACATCGTCTCTGCCATCTAAAAATTCAGATAGTCATTGGCAGTGTATGGAGTATTTGATCCAAAGTTAGCAACCAGAGAAGACTTGAGAGGAAGCCCATTATCATACAAACTTTGTGAAGACAAGCAGAGTCTTTAGGATCAAGGATACAGCAGTGTGTGGAAGCAGGGACTTGAGGACAGAAGGGAAGTTACAGAGATAGATGTTTGACAGGGAAAGCTTCTGAAAGATTTCCTGGGTATGTGTGAGCTCATATACACCGTCTGGGCCTTTATGGATTTGATACTAAGACATGGTTCTTCCTAAATCCACTTCTGCTGTTAGCCCATGATGGAATTCGCCCAAATCTTGAGTTGATAGTAAGTTCTCTCCCTTCATTTGTATCTTTGGTTCTTTTCTTGGCAAGCTGTAAAACCAAGTTTCCAGTCAGATGTAGTGTGGCTCATGCACTTGGGAATTTGAGGCAGGAGGATCATGAGTTCAAAGCTATTGTGGGTTACAAAGTGACCCTGTCTCTAACAAAAAAGGTGGGGGGTGTGATGCTGTAGGAAAGCACTTGTCCTGAATCTAGAATGCTCGGGTTCAATCCCAGCACTGAAAACAAGTCCTCCAAACATCTAATCTTGATTCTTGGTTTGTTTTGTTTTGTTTTCTGAGACAGGGTCTCTCTACATAGCCCTGGCTGTCCTGGAACTCACTATACAGACTAAGCTGGGCTTGCATTCTCAGAGATCTGGCTGTCTCTGCCTCCTGAGTTTGCCACGCTGGTCTTCTTGATTCTTATAATACATTGAAGCTTGTTTTCTCCAGTCTTCCAGTTTTCTTGTTTTTATGTATTACTTAGTCACTCAGTAAGTCTTGGTGCACAACTTCCATGTTCCTCTTTGGGGTGTGGAGTTGGAACTATATTGTTTTCACATATGCATAGGTATTAATGGCTCATCTCAGCAGGAGGACAGAAACACTGGGCAGGGGCTTGAGTGATGTAGGTTCAGGGCTGGATCTTTCATCATTTCACGTGTAACAAAGGGTGATCTACTACTTTTGCAGATTCTGATGTCTTCTGAGTGGGGACTCTATGCTAGGTGCCCTGTTCCTGGTAACAGATGGTTTATGGCTTTTGAGCTTTTATGGATCAGTTCTTAAGTTCTTATAATATATACCAGGCAGATTTTAATAAAATAATCCATCTTTCAATAGATGCATTTATGTGCCAGAGAGATGATGGTTCACTGGATAAAGGCATCTGCCACCAAGCCTGAGGACCTGAGTTCAATCCCCAGAACCCACATGATTAAAGGCAAGAACTGACTCCCACAAGTTGTCTTCTGATCTAAACACACACACACACACACACACACACACACACACAGAGTAAAATAAATAAACAAATAAATGTATGTAAGTACTCTATGGGTATCTGCAAGGAAGGTACCCTTCCCCTTCCTTGCAACATTGACCACTGTTCTGCTTCTGATCTTGTGTTTGGGATCTGTGGTAGCATTAGATCTCCACTTATCTTAGCTTTTACCCCACTAATCTTCCAGGAAGGAAGGGTTAAACACATAGAATGGGAGCGGGACCTTATGAGTTAACAAAGTTAGGCTGGATAGC